CTAAGCCTTTAAATATTTTGCACATGGAGGATATAAAACAAAATATTTTTTTAGGTTTTATATATACATTTGAATAACTAAAAATCATAAATTATTACATCAATATCATAGAATTCAATTATAATTTATCAAGCTTAGTAACTAAGATTTATTTTACTCTAAAGACACAACCTACCTCATTGAAATCTTGATTCAAAAAAAAGAAATGGTGCTAGCCACGTTAGATAGGCTGAGAAAACCAATAGAGGAACATTCTGAGCTTCTGATGAGTTATTCATGTCACATATAGAAGTAAGTATATATAACGGAGCATTTCCAAAAATGGAAAGAGGTGGGCAGAGTGCCACTGTGTTTGATTTATTACATGAGAAGTATCTTAGCAAACTGAAAAGATGAGACTCTACTTTTATATTCGAGCTTGTAAATATTGGTAGTTTGAGTTTCTAATTTTTTCGAAACTATAGACTTAGTATTTTGACTTCACAAACATCTAATTTGAACCAGTGCTGAATTCAACATACCACGTGACACACAAAAAACAATGTTTATCTGTTTTTTAAATATTTACTTTTAAATTATGAAATTGAGTAATGTATATTTCTAAATTTGAATTATAATCTACAGTTTGATACCAAAGATATTGACATAAATTCATGAAATCATAGTTCAATAAAATTTTAAATGCGAGTCAACATGCGAGATGACATGGCCTTTCACCTGTGACCCATCTCAAAAGGGTTAATGGAAACAAGCGAAGTGCAGTTTCAGCTAAATTATTTAAAATATACACTTTATTGCATAAATGAAACTGAACTAAATGTAGTTTACAGAAGTACAATGTATTATACTTTTATCTTACACAATTGCAATGCATTGTATGTATATGTTGTATACGTCAACTGAATGAAATAAATGTGAGTGTGAAAGCACATTTAAAAATCTGATCCAGCTTTTTTCTGAAAGCCACACTGCTACTATAAAAACTACTACAACAACTAAAAAACATATATTTTTAAAATAACTTTGTAGTGATTGCACAATTTTCCATCTTGCATTTTTAAACATATATGATCAGAAGTGTTTCAATACAAAAATGCAGCTCTCCAAAACAATTAGTTAACTGTGTTGTAAATATAATCTCCTATAACTTTCTATCTAAAGATTTTGACTGATTGTAACTAACACTAAGCACACAGGATAAAACTATGTTAAAAAATGAAGTGTACATAAAAAAAAATTATTTATATTCTTCTACTTAGGTATATTTTAAGACCACTTTAAAAAAATAAAAAAACAACCTGTGTATACAAATACCACATGATTCAAAAACATTTCATATTTTTTCCTTGATTATTGCTACACTCACCTGTTCTATTCCATCCAAATTAACATAGATAGAAGTGTAAACTTGTTTCTTAAATTTGGCTAAAAGAAAACCAAAGAGACGAATAGCACTCAGTTGTAAGTTATGACTCATCTCTTGAAGAATCTTTTCAGCAGCCTTTGTAACCTCTTCTTGTGACATCTTTTTCTCATCACATATCTATATTATTTTCATAAAATATAAATTTCTCATAATTTTGTTCTTAAATAATAGAACAATCCGGATAAATCTTCAATATGAAGAAATATTCAATATGTTTTACAGTTAGGCAATAAAAACTACTAGACAAGTGTTTAATAGTCATTACTTTCAATCAAATTAATAGTAATTTCAAAATATTTTAACAGCACCCCTCCCCTGGAGACTAACCCTAAATGTATGCACAAGTAGCTTTTCAACAGTTTCCACAGATATACAAGACAATTAATATATACTTATTTCAAAATTTCTATATAAAAGTTGGCACTTAATTTTTCTTCATTACTAATCCCACACCAATACCAAAGTAGTTGGCTTCATGATGAGTAATCCCAACAAAAGTGTTCAACAACAGCATGGAGGAAAATAGCAGTTTCACTTTCATATCAGGTTTTTAAAGGCAAATGATTGCCAAGTTTCTTTTTAATAATAAAAACTAAAATAACTAACATATCACTAAGAAACTACATTTACATTTTAAGAAACTAAATATTATGTATGGTAAAGAAGCTTCTGAATTATATTATTGATACTGGGTTGTATCATAAAAAACTAAATATTATGTATGGTAAAGAAGCTTCTGAATTATATTATTGATATTGGGTTGTATCATAAAAAACTAAATATTATGTATGGTAAAGAAGCTTCTGAATTATATTATTGATATTGGGTTGTATCATAAAAAACTAAATATTATATATGGTAAAGAAGCTTCTGAATTATGTTATTGATATTGGGTTGTATCATAAAAACTAAATATTATATATGGTAAAGAAGCTTCTGAATTATGTTATTGATATTGGGTTGTACCCTAAAAACTAAATATTATGTATGGTAAAGAAGCTTCTGAATTATATTATTGATATTGGGTTGTACCATAAATAAAGAGAAACTGTGGACCAATAAATCTTACTACAAATCAGGATTGAACTACCTAAACACAAAAATGCTTTATTTTAGGAATGTCAATGGTAGAGTATTCACCAATGACTGGACATCTAACAAAACAATATAACATGAAGTTCTACATGAGCTCTAATTACAGAACTTTCTCAAATCTTGGATTACATAAAGGATGCAAATTTAACATATGAAAAAGAAGTAACTGTTCTATGACTTAAGCATCTGGCTGCACGATCAATGTCTTTTATTTACTGTTGTCTTGTAGTTTTTGAATCACGTTTGTATTAAGATAAATATTTTATTAATTAAACTATTAAAGCTACTAACGAAGGCATTATAAATTTTTACAGTATACTTAACACAGAGGCTAGCACTTCACAATCACACAGAAACATCTAGATCACTAGACTTACACTTTCAAAACTTTTATACGAGTTTTACAAATTTGTTTGAGATTTGCCTTAGTTTGCTACAGCACCCCACCAAATTCAAATGGAACTGACATTTTAAATTAGGCAATGTGAGGTGATTGTATCATTAAATATCCTAACTATTTATGAGCAGTTTTACCTTTGTATCTTTAATTATATTTGCAGGAAAAAATTAAGAACTTAAAAGAAAAAAAAAGAATTCTGATTTTTTGCCTATTTCAAAATGTAGCAGCAAAAGTTAATTTCTATCCCTGCTGGCAATGTTTAAACAACTATCAAATGCAAGATTATTGTTTCATATTCAAGTTAAGTATGCATCATAAAAATTGTGCTATATTCTGCAAGTCACCTTTCTAGCATGCCAGAAGTCACGGAATTGTGCATTAAACGTGACCCGTAAACATGCTTGATATGAGAACTCGCATGCTTCAGAAAAAAAAATTACCTTAATGTTGAAAAGCTTTAAGTTTTTCTTTTATTAGGAGCAGAAAACAATGACCTAATCAGAGCATACACTGAAATGAAACAGTACAAGTTATATCCACAAACTACCTTCTGAAACCTGAAATAACATTTTGGTATTTTAACTAATCAATGTATAAAACACTTATTTTAGATAAATATACATTATATACCAGTCCACAGACATTTTCTTTTTGACACAAGCAATACATTTGTTGTAATTCTTCCTAAATTAGCCACTTGTAGTTCTACACATACAATTTATTTTACTGAACTTTAAAAAAACTAATCCAAACATGTTAAAATGGCTTTCCAAGACAAACTTAGACGTATATGGCTTTTTAAAGATCTTGAAACATATACACAACAAAAAACAAAATGATTAACAAATACTTATTAAGACATCAACAAATTTTATAAAACTTCAAAACCCTTTCTAACATTAATTTTTAAATCAACAAACAAACTGCTGTAAACTGTTTTAGGTTGTTATTAAAAACTTTTCATTATGATTTATATTTTTACACATGGTACTATTCACTATATTAGAGGTATAAACTATCTATTATACATAAATGCATTATATAAGTTGTGTTACAACTATTTTTGTCATAATATATTATAATCTTACCTTGTTACTCATTAAATTTCACTAGGATAAAAACTGCTAGTCGCTCAGTACTAATTCTGAAGACTTACAAGACTAAAACCTGGTTTTAATACTCGAGGTGGGCACAGCATAAGTAATTCATTGTGTAGTTTTGTGATAAACAAACAAACAAAACTAGAATAAAATAAATGTTTAATAGCAATATCTACAGATAACTTACCTCTTTAATAATATACTGAACTCTAGGACTTTCAAACACTTCATGTTGGATCTGTTTAGGACTTCTGTCCTTAGAAAACTGGTATTTCGCACAAGTCCAATCTCTTGTAACCCATTCCAGATCCCCAAATTTACGTCGGTCATATAAGATGTCGATGTAAGTCTTCCCTCTCAACACTTTCGTCATTACAAACTTAAACTGACTTCGATACACAACTAAAATTTAACAGTAAACACAAGGTTATATTCATACAAAATTAATGAGTTGTTTAACATTTATGTTAATATATAATGATCTATAAAATGTACATACCCAAAAAATAAAGTTTTAAATCTTTAACCTCCTACAATGTAAATACCCAAAAAATAAAGTTTTAAATCATTAACCTCCTACAATGTAAATTCCCGAAAAATAAAGTTTTAAATCATTAACCTCCTACAATGTAAATTCCCCAAAAATAAAGTTTTAAATCATTAACCTCTTACAAAATGTAAATTTCCCAAAAAATAGTTTTAAATCATTAACCTCTTACAAAATGTAAATTCCCCAAAAAATAAAGTTTTAAATCATTAACCTCCTACAATGTAAATACCCAAAAAAATAAAGTTTTAAATCATTAACCTCTTACAAAATGTAAATACCCCAAAAATAAAGTTTTAAATCATTAACCTCTTACAATATAAATACCCCAAAAATAAAGTTTTAAATCATTAACCTCCTACAATGTAAATACTCAAAAAAATAGTTTTATATCATTAACCTCCTACAATGTAAGTACCCAAAAAATAAAGTTTTAAATCATTAACCTCCTACAATGTAAATACCTAAAAAATAAAGTTTTAAATCAACCTGAAAGTTTCCAAGTCATTAATTAACCTCAAAAAAGAAATGATAAAATGTTCATTTACATCTTCAGTTATATATCTGTCAGGTTAACCTAAAAAAAAATACCCAATGTTCATCTGAAAAACTAGAGCAAGGTTCTATTGAAACTTGTATACTTTCTATAATAAATGTCTCTGTAAGTTGTTATTTTTTAAATTTACTATCAATTCAGAGCATCTTGTCTGATATAAAGACTCCAGCCTTGTTTCCTAACTTTTTTTAATTTATGAGTATTTGCAGGTTTTTGAATTCCCAATGTGTTATCTATCTTGTACTAATTGAAGTAATTATTATGTAAATTAAATCATTTAAGCCTAAGCTCAATTTGAGTTTCATTACTTGGCCATAATACTAATACTTATGCAATGATATTACAATTTTATATCGTAACAAAAGATAAGTTACGCCCTAGTTGTGCTAACAGTAACAACATGTAACAATGATACTAAGTAACAGTAACATTAATACTATTAACACTAACAGTTTCCTCTACTCTTCTCTCGTACTACTACTTGTAGTGAAATGTTGCAATTTCACTTAATAATAAAAATACAAATTTAATTAACTCGTATATTTACCAGCTGGACCTACTTCTTAAGGAAACAATCACTCCTTTCTTATTTACATTTGAGCTTTGAAATATATTTCCTTATTTACAATCAATAAATCTCAGTTTTGTTTAAAAATAATATAAACATATCCTCCCAATCCAAGACACATTGTCAAGTCACAATTTAACCGGCCGGATGATAAACCGTCTAACCATGCTCTGACGAACCATAGCCATGCTCTCGATCACGCCACCGAATACGCGCGATATGACGTCATTTAATGGCAACTGTATATTGATCTTTCGTATGCGTATCTGTGATGTCTGATAAGTTTCTTCAAGTGTAGCAACTTTTGACCAGAAACACATAGCAGTAGACAGTGCTAACGACAGTTGATCCATCTTGACATTTCGAGTAACTTCCGTTTTCTGTACGAATCCACCAATACTACCTGCAGATTGATTTGATGCATACACATAGCTAGGATAAACAACTGTGTGGATACAGTGCCGCTTTAGGAAAAAAATTCATATATTCTATAGTCTATTCTTTATTAACTCATATACAACACACTTTGTACTTTTCTATGTGATTAAGATGTATTGTTAAAGTCTTGTAAATTACACACACACACAAACAAACAAAAAGCATTCAAATTCCGACGTTAAGTTTCACGAGTACAAATACAAATCACGCAAAAATCGATTGTAGTGTACCATGTATAAGTGATGTACGTGTAGTGAAGCTAGTTTGTTTGTTTGTTTTTGAATTTCGCGCAAAGCTACACGAGGGCTATCTGCGCTAGCCGTCCCTAATTTAGCAGTGTAAGACTAGAGGGAATGCAGCTAGTCATCACCACCCACCGCCAACTCTTGGGCTACTCTTTTACCAACGAATAGTGGGATTGACCGTCATTCTTATAACGCCCCCACGGCTGAAAGGGCGAGCATATTTGGTGTGACAGGGATTCGAACCCGCGACCCTCAGATTGCGAGTCGAGTGCCTTAACCACCTGGCCATGCCGGGCCAGTGAAACTAGAAATTCATATTGTTAACGTTATACATATATAATAATTCAAGATTAAAACAGTGACCGCCGTTGCTTCATATTTCCTAGGATGTTTAAAATATTATTGTAATTTAACGACTAATAGAGCTCCTTCTCAAATGAAACAATAGAACTAAGTTTGTCAATCATCTGGTGGTCCTATTTGAACGTAAGCGAGACTTTAAATTCCCGACTAAATGTAAGAAAAAATTCTCTCAATTATACAAGATGTTTATAATAGTGATCAGTATATGGTTCAGGTGAGGTATTTTCATTAATGATATTGTTACGACAGCGGAAGTCACGCGACTCTGGGAGCATGCGCACTGGGGTTTCTAGCAGGATCGTGACTTCTCGGGCAACCTCACGATTGTCCCAGCGTTTGTTAGAAGCCCTGTTTTTTAGTATATAAGCCGGAGATAGATTGAAGAGAAATGATGGATAATTGATTCAAGCGAACAATAGGCACCGTAAGTAAAGTGTGTGAATCACTGTGAATTATAGCGTGTGTTTATAAAAGTAGTTAAGTTAAAGTGACCGTGGAAATTCTGTGTATTGGAAAGTTGTATCGAGAAAGAATAAACTAGTTTTAATTAGAAAAGGACTTGTATCACTGAAGTTTCTCGGAAAGAATTTCTATGGGAAATTAACAAACAAGCAGATACGTAACAATATTTTCAATTTCGTTGTTT